TTTATTGCCCAAACACTCAAACGCTACTCAATGTTAAGACGCCTTTAGTCTCGTGGTGTCACGTCACAGTCACAGTTTTAAAGTGATAGAGAAAGCAGGAGACTTGAGAGCGTAGACGGCCTGCATTTTTTTCCATACAAATGTATTCATCCCCTATTCTCTTCCTGGATAATGCCTCTAGAGTAATCGTTTTTGTTAATAAAAGTCTAGGTCTATTGAAGGCATGCCCCTGTCATTTTTTTCCAAAAAAATATAAAAATAAATATCACTCCAAAAACCTAAAAAAATGCCCCGTTTTTACCTCCGTAATGACACGACTACCAAAGAAATTTGAAAAGTTTTCAAGATAAAAACAAGTGATAGGAGCATAGATCTATTCTTCCACTTCGCTCTAACGGTTTCTTAAAATTAAGTAAAGTTTTGGGTATTTGGGCAAATGTCTCATTAAACTTTAAATAATATATTTAAAAAAAATATAATCTGCTACATCTATTGGTATCGGAGCGCAATTTTTCAAGAACATAAATATATTTATTAGCACAGGAACTAATACAACTCTGTGATTTATATAATTAATACACACAAAGATATTTGCACGAAAATGATTTTTGTAAAATAAATTCTTTACTACCTCGCAAAATCAATACAAAAATAATACTTCGTCGTCACAAAAATCACATCTCATTTGCAATACTTTTGTGTTAAGCTTAAAAATAAATACACATGGAAACCTAAAGAGATCGTTTTATTATTATTATAACATAAAGCAGACCTAAGAGAATAGGATTATTAAGTACCTAAACTACAATAACAAGTTAGAATTGTGAATAATCTCAGAGAAATTCGACTTAAATTTAAATAAATACACTATGTTATAAAGCTACAAAATTTAAGCTAAGGACCGGTCAAATATTTTTGTTTTACGAAACACCCACAATATTTGACAAAACCATTACGAATACACACAAAAAGGCAAACATTTCCCTTCAATACGCACAGCCAATTATTTGCCACACTCGTCCAACGTTCGCGACCAATACGCTCAACTTCCAAAACTCAACAAAGCCGTAACAAGTTACATTAAATATCACAACACGTCAGCGCAAATAAAGCCGTATACTTATTGCAATAAAGCTGCTAATAATTCGATCGGGCTCACCATCTCCACAATAACAATCCAAATAATACTGGCGTGCTTGTAAACGCTTTTAAAACGTTCATCGCATTTCAGTCTTTCTAATTTTGACTGATTATACCAATCTAAACTAAAATATAATACTAAGCTAGCGATAAGTCTACATAAAAATTCGTTCATTCTCTTTCTGAACTTAACCTTATAGTTCTATGAATATCCTTCTACAACAAAACCCTGCCTGACCAACAATTCAAACTTGGCTTGGAAAGTTCATAGAGAATTACGAGAAATAAAATATCTATGTACTTTCGCTTTATTTTATGTTTCTTTCACTAGCCGCCCCAGCAACAGCACCACCTACCGGCTCCAACTATAGAACTATAAGAACTATTCAGGTGACCCATAAGTACCCCATAGAGACTTCATCAAACAGCCTCAAGTCATTTAGGAGGCCAAGATTTACGAACACACAACGGAATTTTTATACATATAGCATTATTCTATCCGTGAACACTCAAGAAGTAAATTATCTGTTTTAAAAACGAATAGATTATTTTCCCCAATAATATTTGTAATAGATAAATATTTTATATGTTCAACTAGACCAGTTGCAGAAACTTCTTTTGGACGGTAAATTTTATTGAAAGAACATTCATAATTTGGGGATCTTGTATGTGGTCATTGCTCAATAATTATTTTAATTTACAATAGGTTCGAGAATGTTCTTCATAACTTTTTCTTTTTCACATAGATCCTTTAATTTTACTTTTTTTTAACGTAAAAGAACCAAGATAGAAATTCAATCAAGTTAAAGATATTGAAATCTGGCAAGTTTATAATTTCACAAATGTATCACCGAGAGACTCAGTGTATGTGATTACTGTTACTTGTGTTAACCAATTCGGCTACGACTAAAATTCTTATTAAACGAAATAGTCGTCAAGTATGCATATTTATTATTTATTGTTCTCAATCAGTCCAAGACACTGTCGTAGAGATAATCTATTATCATATAAATAAAATTTAAGTGTCTGCAATATCGAAATCAATTTCTATTAACCTCAGAGGGTTACTTGCATGTTATTAAGGCATGAGTAAGCTAACCTCAAGAATAAATTTTTGTCTGCTGTTTGTCGGGGCTAATCGGTGAAATGAATAGACTAACAAGACTAGACAGTCATCATCATCATCATCATCATTATTATTACAGCCTATAAAAGTCCACGACTAAAAGTAGCCCCTCACTGATTGCCTCATATGTATGTATTTTTCCACAGTTGCCACGCTTGTGTAAGTGGCATTTGTGATGATATTTCACATTGATTCTTATTCTGCTATGTGCAAAAATATCCACCATCCCATATCATCCCGAGGGTATCGCAGAAGTCGACAGAGTACACTCAAACAGGAGATGGGTAGCAGCATGTATCCTAATATTAACCAAAAATAACGAAAAACCGTGGTTGTCAATTTGCCTGCTGTACGCGGGCCATGTTGGAAAATATTGTCCTTATGAGACAATTGATATTGTAGATAGACAAGGCTTTTGATATTGTAATGGTGATGACAATGAACATTGTCTACTATTGATGATTTAACAGCGGGTGATCATAACTTCAGTCTATTCAACTTCTATGTCACAAAATCACTTTCATTAGATTCGAAATTATTGTTGCTGGAGATTTTAATAATATCAACCGAAGAGTATGGATTTTTCCATGTTACCTTCCTTAGACTAGAGGTAATTTTAAGTAAAAAAATTTAACTTAAAAGTTTTAATAGAACCTTGACTTGGTGCACTTGCATTCGCACACTATTCAATTGTATTACTTGAGCATTGATCAACATGATATGTCTCATAACATTTAGTCATTCAATTATCCATACATGTTAACAGTCATACACATATATACGTATTATTCACCCACACACACACTTACATACAAAGCCATATATATTACCTATTATAATTGATTTTCGTATCCATAAAGATCAAAATAATGTTCATACAAGGTGAATGTGCAATTATCCTTAATTAATATTTCGGTGCAGTTTATTTGATGGGTATAAATTAATTAGTTTATTCAAATTTTAAATTCTAATAGCAACAATATGGAGCATGTTATAGACTGTACATAAACAACTCAAGATAAATCATAATCAGCTATATACATTATTGGAGAAATTTAAGGACGAACTTTATCCACATAAAGCATAGGGATGTATAATGTAAAAATGTTTGGATTCCTCATTATGAACCGATAAATTATCGCACGATTTTATACTATTAAAAGTCTACTGGCATATTTCTACAATAAAGATGCAGACATCTTTTTATGTGTCATACCATATGATGTGACAGATGAATTAAATATCGTCTGGTGCGAGGGTTGCACAGGTATTGGTTTCGAACCTAGGTTTCTATATGCTGAGATAAATGTCCGTCAAAGACTAGCAAAAAGCACAAATATGTACAGTGATAAATAAAAGAATAAGCGTGTTTACTTATTATAGTTCTTGTAATTAACAAGTGCGGTCGACCTTTGGACGTGGTTCGATATGTAGCAGCACAGTGTAACACGCTAGGACTATTCTAATGCAAGAACTATACTCAAATAATTTTTAAATCAAAATATAATGCCATCACAATAAAAAGTTATCATCATTGTTTTAAAAATTAAGTCTTATACATATTCAGAGATATTCAAAAAGAGTGCATTTGCTACTACAATTTAAATATGTAATAAATAATTAATATACTTCAAGTTTAAGATACACTTTTTAACCCGATTAATTGGACATTGGTACACAAATAGGATCTAACCTACATTTGCGTCATAAATAAGTTATGGATGCCAAAACGATCTAACAAATAGTAAAAATTACAGCACCACAATCACAAGTAAGCAAGTCTTGTCACAAAACCAATCCTAACTGCAAATGTCAATATCTCAAAAGGTTTTTATATCTATGCGGGTCAGATCCTTTTTACGTAACTATGTCCTTTTAAAAATTTTAGACGATGCACTTTTTTTCAATGATCCTGATAATACACACGAGTCACTTTAAAAATAGATGTAGATGTCTTTTTTATTACTAAGACTTATTTAAAATGAGGCATAGTTTAATGGATTGCAATTAGAAAATGTCTCAGCACAGTTGGCAATGGCTGGCTATCCAACAAAAATATATATAAATATATATGAAAAATCTTAGACCAACGAAGCTAAATAGACGAAGCGCATTTTAAGTGATTCCGAAACCTTGCTCAAGTTCTTGATAAATACTTACACACACATCTTTCAGTCTTTAACAGCTCTTAAAAGTCCACTAACAGACCCCTACATAAAGAAACCCGGATAAAGTTATTTTCCAAAGTAGTGGTAACTTAAAGAAAAACTTTCAGTGAATTATTTCTAATCTAATTTGAATAAAAAATTCACGCACACATACACTCCGTTTATTTATTTTTGTTGATCTAAGGTAAAGATGTAAATAAAAGTTTATTGGGTTTTACTCTAGATTTTTTGGTAGTACCAATCTCAAAATCAGTTTTATTTAATAGTTTTCATCTCGAAACATGGCAAGTAGTAACGAAAATGTCTTATAAAATGCCCGGTTCATCGCACTTCGAAAGATTTCTCTTTCACTGTGAACTTACATTATCGTTGAATACAAAAATGTATTGTCAACTATCAAACTACAATATTTCGCCAAAACGGCGACAGTCAGATCAATTCGGTTAGAGCATAAATTATTATTCTCATCTCTACTAAAAATATCACATACCTCGCAGTCCGCTGCCGGCGGCACGGAACCGTAGAGTAGAAGCGAAGGCTGCGCAGACTATAGACTAGCGACTAGATCAAGCAAGATTCGTCCTCGGCGACATCACTATGTAGTGATGCTCTATGGGCGGCGGCGGGACTATTGGCGACATTGGCATGTATTCACTCTCCACCTCCGTGTCTTTTAATCTTATCTTGCTGAACTGATCCCGTCCACGGAGTATTAAGTCGACTATTTCTTGTGGTAGAGCTAAAGCTGCTAATCCTTCGTCATTGATTTTCAAAGAAATGTCTCCGTCAAACTCGTCCAAGAATTCGTCATTCCCCTCCAAACACTCCACTGACTTGGAGCACCTGCTGTTCGTAGTGACGTGTTGGGTCTCATCTAAGAACTCGCAGCTCTTCGTCTCGCCCTTGGCGAGTCCTGAGGTTATTTTGAGATTCTTCATCTTCCTGCTCACTTTAAAGCTTTTAAACAAGTCCCGTGTCGGCGGGAACTCGAATTTCTTCTTCTTCGTTTCCACATCCTTGATTTCTTTTGCGGTTTCCGATTTCGGTGAGCTTGCTATCCGCGAGTCGCTTTTAAGTCTTTTCCTGCAATTGAAAATAGTTTTACTATAAAACAAAAATTTTATTATTTTTACTGCATTATAATTTATAAAATAACGTGTGCAGCATTAAAAAAATTCTATAAAAGTAGATAATGTATTATGTGTGCTTACAGTGTCAGAGAAATAATGGATCACCTCAATCCCGTTAGTGTCGCAAGAGGCGCCCAAGAGAAATGTCAAATAAATCTTTTGATTTCCAATAGATGGCAGTATAGCCATCTCGTTTAGGTCTTAATGGGAGATGAAGTCTATATTAAAGTGCAACCATAGAGGTTAAAGAGAAGGAGAACGTTCGCTGTAGAAAATAGTATCTCAAAAATATGGATAGAAAGTCATTTTCAGTCTATTTTTCCAATCAGATGCTAAACCACTTGCATATCCACGCACAATTAATTCATCATAATTATTTCTCTATTTTTTAATGTTTCTTTTTGTCAAAAATTACGGAGCACGATAATTTTCTCACCAAAGACGCGAAGAAAATTTGTACATTATTCAACTCACTTCATCTACTTGTACTCATAAACAGCTAACTTCGCAACCACTACTCACCGATGGCAGCGCCGCTATGTATTCTACATATCCAGTGACAGGCGGGCTAATGCTTTTAGCACGTAGTGATCGTTCTCCTGTTCTCTAACCTCCATGGGTGAAACATACGGTCTAGTCTCGGCCATTTTCCCGCGAGATGGCGCTGAAGTCATCATTTTTAGTTTATTTGTTTTTTTTTTAATTGGAACATTATTAAGTCGTAGAAGCATCTATTACAGTAATCGGACATTATACTTTACTGTATGAGGTATCATTGCCACAAAATCCAAACAATATACCTGAACACGCTGAAGGGCTGCCTGGCGGGCTTGGGCAGCGTGCGCGTGCAGCACCGCGGCAGCGAGCCCAGCGAGCTGTGCCGCGTCACGCACGCGCCTCCGCGCCCACGCCCACACGCGCCCACTCCTGCGTCCACACCCACACCCCACTCCGAGCACAGTTTCATCGTACTGTAACGCCAAGTCACATCTTCATATAGGTACCCTATTATTTACATCAGTTTATTACACAAACATTGAGTTTTTACGGAGGTTCATAATAGGGGTTGGATTAAGAATCATTTGGCAGAAGTTTGAGGGATTAAGGTGTTTTATTTGGTAGAAGTTTGGTCCCCAATTATAACAATACTACTCGCATTAAAAGTTAATGTTCGTTTTCAGGAAAAAAAGCAATCATAACCTAAAATGTGTAAAACATGGAAGAACGTATGCAATATGACTGAACCACTGGGGTTTTTTCCCACCCAGAAATACTTGAGCTCTCGGAAATCCTTATAGTTGTGTTTGGAGACAACCCCGCTTCCCCCTCCATCCACCTATTACTGCCGGAGTTCTATGGGATTTTCTTTTTGATTTTTATCAAGAACGGTGTATTACCTTTTGATGGGTGTCGGGGTTAGGGGACACTCGACCCTCCCCCTCCAACCCATCCCATGCCCCCCGTCCTGCCAAACGATTCTAAATTTTAACCCCACAAACTCTTGATCAACTCCGAAATGTAGCATTAGCTGCTCGGACAACAATACCGCAGTCGATGTTAAAAACATCATCCAGAGTATACCAGACCGAATACAGGCAGTTAAGCAGGTAACACGCGGTACTAACTTGTTTAGACAATTATAAAAAATTGTTTCTTCTTTATTTTCTAAAGCCTTAAAGTTTAGCATTGAAAATTCTAATTTTCCTTAGAGTGAGAGCTAGCTGTCGCAAAATTCCACATTAGCCAATTTTCTGTGCCGATGCGTCTATTAGATTTAATTTTAACTTTACTAAAAATTAGTAACAAATTACGTCCAGTGATTGGTCGCGCGACAACTGACGCCGGAGTTGATGAGCTTATTAAAAATATTTTTGTGCATGGGAGAATACAGAGGATGCTTGGGATATATTTTGTGAACTTTCCAAGGCCTTCCACTGTATTCATCACGAGACATTAATCAAGAAATTACAGTACTATGGTGTCAAGAACATAGTGCTTAAACTTATAATTTCATTTTTAAGTAATAAAACGCAGAAAGTCATTATTGGTTATTATCAATGGTAAAAGTTCTTCCGAGTCACCTGCACTAATGGGTGTCCCTCAAGACTCAATTATCGGCCCATTTCTATTTGTATTAGTGTATATTAATTACTTACCTTCCCTTGTAGGGGATAATCAAGATATAGTATTATGTGTTGATGATACTTCCTTGATTTTTAAACTTAAACGTTAAAGATTTAAATGTAACAAAGTGAATAATACTATACCAAAATGTGTTCATTGGTTTAACGTTAATAATCTACATTTAAACGGCAATAAAACTAAATCCAACGCCGAATATTAAATATTTGAATACCAATGTGTTTTTATTTGAATGGGGATGAACTGAGCCCTGTTGAATCTACTGTTTTTCTTGGCATCACAGATTAGTTTATTTCAGTTATTTCCATAGCATAACGTCTTATGGGATTTTGCTATCGGGAAATGCTACTGATTTAAAAACTATTTTTGTTTAGCAGAAAAGGGCCGTAAGAGCTATTTACAACCTAAAATCGAGATAATTTCTTACAGAAAAATTTAAATAAATAAATAGATTAACTTTGGCCTTTCAGTATATTTACGAAACTTTAATATATGTTCACAAAAACAAAAGTTTAAGTAAAAAAAGTGGTATCCACTCTGTAAACACTAGAAACAAACACAATAGTGTAGTGATACCAGTTTTTCAACTCCACAGAGCCAGTATTCGTAAGTCGTAAGTCCCTAATATATACAGGGTTACCAAGTTTAAATATTTTATTAAACAAAAACTGTATAAAAAGGGTTAATATAAGGGCAGATTTCACAAATGTTGTTTGCAAGGAAATTCCGTGTCTTATGACTTTCAACTTGTTTATCGGAGATACATTGCTTCAATACATGTGTTTTTAAAAATAAATTGAAATGTTTATATTAATCTAAAAACAAAATCATTTATAATAACTGCAAATCCTAAATTAGATTAAAAAAATATTAATGAAAAATAAAAACTTGCCCAATCTCAAGTGTCCACACCACCTATGCAGATTTAAATGCAGCAAATTTGTAATGTTATTCTTCTCTATAATATTGATACGATTGTTATTTTAAAAGATCATAAGTCCTGTATATTATAATTAAACTTAATGATAGGTGATTTAGAGTTTAAAATTAAAATAAACACATTATTTGCCGTCTCTAAAAATCGTTCGCGCGGAAATTCCGTAATTCCTGTATGTACTTATTATACTCTTTGGTCTAGCCGGAAAACCGAGCAGAGCGGTCGCTCCGTAACGTGGCATAAATTGTGAATCAATTACGAACAACGTAGGTAATATTCCTATTTTAGGTAGTTTTTTGTGAGTTATATGTTGGATGTTTTATTTAGTAATGATGCAATATGAGTAGAATATTCAAATTGGCATTAATTTAGGAGTAATTTGCATTTGACTACCGACCGGTAGACATACGTCACATCCATTACGTAACGTATTGTATAAGGGAACGCAAAACGTGACTTAATGGAATTCATAGACAGTGTGTACAATGTATAGTACTTTTATAGGCTAATATTTCTTGTTTTTTTTTTTTTTTTTTAAATTGACAACCAATTTTCACACTGTCTGCCGTTTTTACTCTCGTATTATTCCGATTAAAATATTAAAAGGATGGTATATGACAGAAATGTTTAATTCTATTAAACTGATAAGCATACTATTTGGTACAATAGTAAAAAACGTTTTATTTAAAAAAATCCTTGTATTTATACGTGTATACATGCCTAGTAATACTAATCATTAGTATCCTAGCAGTTGATGCCATTGTAAGTATTGATGCAAATACTTGGAATATTTGATTTTTTTAATATTATATTTTATATATACTTATAATAAGTTACGTTTTTATTTCATCGTCTAGATATTGAATTATTCACATTATTACAGACCTGAAGAATGGTGTTGACTGCTGCTGAGCAAGCTAAAAGATATAGAGAAAAAATTAAACAGAACCCGGAAAAGTGTGAGCAACATAAAAAGAAAGAATTAGAAAGGCTAAAAAAGACCCAAAAAAGATAAACGAGCTTACCGATGAAGAAAAAAATGGAGGCAACAAAAAAAGAGCAAAAAGAAAGAAAGAAAGCACTTCAACAGAACACAGTACCCCAAACTATTCACACAAATTTAAGTACATTTCCTAAATCATTTTCATTCTAGTACCGTAACTTAAGCAGAAACTTAGACATCTAAGAAAAAATGTCTCTGAAAATTAAATAATAAAATTCTCTAGATGAAAATTAAATAATGTGAGGAAGAAACTTTAACGGGAAAAAGTGAAACATGAACAAGAGATGATGATGTTGAAGGCTGAAAACGATAAACTTAGAGCACGGCAAAAATTATTAGAGCTATCACTGCGTGAAACATATTCTGATTGTAAAAAAAAACGGCCAATAAACAAATAATCAAAAAGATAGGTCTAAAATTAAACAAAAGCATGAAAAATGGTTCTAGTAACAAACTTTTAGGATTAAAAGGCAAAATAAGAACTGTAAGCAAGAGCAAACGGGTGCTTTCGAACAAAAAAATAGTGTTGGAAATGGAAGCATTTTACAATAGAGACGACATAAGTAGAAGTACGGCTGGTAAGAAAGAAACGAGAACAGTAAAGAAAAAAAAATGCATCAATACTGGTAAATACTTTAAGACATCTGTATCAGATTTATAAGAATGAGGGTGGCAAATACAGTTACACCGCCTTCTTCAGATACAAGCCATTTTATATTTTGTCACCAGGTTTAGCTAGCAGAGACACATGTATGTGTATTAAACACAACAATATGGAGTTTATATTTATGGCTTTAAAACTAAAAGGAGTAATTACCTACACTAACACTGGCAATTTATTAAAGAATGTTGCGTGTGATACGAAATCGTTTCGCTGCATGTACAATAAATGCAACGAGTGCAAAAGTTATGTTCAATACAGTGTAAACAAGCTGGAAGACGAGATTATTTGGTATCAATGGATCAGGGTGGATCACAAATATATAAAAAAAATCTGGCCAGGAGCGTGTTACTAAAAAGACCGTCAAACAACAAATGAAAGGGACTGTAAGCGAGCTTATTCTGGAATTTGAAAAACAATTGAAGAACAACACTAAAATACATGTTTTTATCTGGTGCGAACAATATCGCCAGTACAGAGTATGTGTGACGAATCTTACAAACGCAGAAATGATAATATTATGTGACTTCTCGGAAAATTTTGACTGCAAGTACAGCCAAGAGATACAGTCGATGCACTATGGTGCGTCCAAAAAGTCCATAACTTTGCACACTGGAGTCATTTTTGGAAAGGAATGCAGTACTTTATTTGTAACTATATCTGATGATAACTGCCATGAGCCCCATTCCATCTGGGCACACCTTATACCAGTTATCAAAAGGCAAACAAATAAATCCTGATATGAAAATTATACATTTTTTTTTTCAGATGGGTCAAGTAGTCAACACCGACAAAAGAAAAATTTCTTTCTCCTAAACTATTTCACTAAGAAATTAGGATTAACCCATACTACTTGGTCATTTTCGGAGGCGGGACATGGTAAAAGTTTAGCTGATGGCGTTGGGGATTCTGTGAAAAGACAATTGGATAAAAGAATATTATATGGCGAAGATATTACCAACGCTACTGATGCTCACAAAATATTGGTAAGAACAATGAAGTCTGTTAAAACATTTTATGTGTCTGCCGATGATGTCAAAAATATGAAAACTCTCATCCCCAAAGGAATACGGGCTGTACCCGGTACAATGCAACTCCACCAAATTATATCTACAAATATAAATCAGATAGAGCACCGAACATTAAGTTGCTTTAGTGACGGAATGCAGGGCTTATGTAGATGTCACGATCCTCAAACTCATATATTGATGACTAATTACAAGATGCAGGAGCCCCCTCGTACTGGAGTAGGATCAGCGACGAACAACATGAGTGATATGGTAGTTCTTCCATATCTAGAGCCATCAGAACCATTTCCAGCTGGTACCAATGATGCGCTTGTTACCAGCCATGTAACAGGAAGATCACTGGTTTCTTTATCTCCCGAACCATCAGAATCATTGGTCCCGAATTATACGACCCAAGAGTTTAATAGTGAATCTATAATAGAACATATTGGTATCTCATTTATTGACTCCACCACTGCTGATGAACAATTTGAAAATTTATTGGATTTTCCTTTGCATTCAGACAAAATAACGGCGTCTCAATTTGAAAAACAAGATACAATTGAATATCTTGAACCTATCAAAGATATAATCAATGATAGTGAAAATATTCCATCAAACCATTTACCAGAACAAGTGTCTGTAATGTTGAAAACAGAATGTTCCATAAATGGTCAAGTTCAAGCCACCGTCATGCCTGCAAATCGAGTTAAAAATTTTGGAACCTGACGATGTCTACCAAACTCCTAAGCTCACTTTGCCCGCTAAACGAGCGAAAATTTTGAAACCTACAGCTGCTCACCAATCAGCGGTCGTTAAACGAGTTAAGACTCTACAACCCCTAATAAAAAACGAAGATCAAGTGCCCCAGAAAAAGACAGCGTTTACAGGACCATCTACCTCAAAGACTTTTTTATGTTGTCTTTGCAAGACTCGCCAGCCATTTTTCAAAATATGGTTAAATGCATGGTTTGCAAGAATTGGCTGTGCTTTTCGTGTAGTGGAACTACCTTTTTTGACTACATTTGTCCTATTTGCTTAGAAGATTAAAAAATCCCACTTATGACTGATAATTGTTTGCCTAGATCTCAAATGTTATTATTTGTTTATTTAATAAGATTTTTTTAAGCACCTAGAGTTTATAAATGACTCTACTATCTTTAATTGTTGGTACTAGATAGTAAGTATAATGTTTAAAGATTTTGTGTGTTTTAATGTTGTAAACTTAGCTTAATACTTCCTATATGTCACATCTCATTCCATTAATGTAACGTGTCCTACTTTGGCTGTGCTATTTCAACTGATTAATTATGTATAATTATAGGTAAATATTTGACACTAGGTTAATTAAAAAAGAATATTTAGGCACCTGTTTGATTTTATCATATAAACATATCATTATGGATCGTATGAACCACATGAAAGACGTTGGTGTAAAGTACTAAGTACCAAAAAGTGACGTAATTGTTTAGTGGTCTAAATTACATTTATTTATGTAGTTTAGGTTAATGTGGTACCTCTATCCTAAGACTGATTATAATAAATATTTGAATAATAAATGCTGTCATTCATACCACGAGCTAGTTTTATTTTATAGTAAAGTTTATTTAGTGTCGTAATGGAACTCCTCATGGACCGAGTACACATTGAACTTCAATTAACGTGAAAACTAATGAATTTTCAAAGTAAAAAGTAGTATTTTCTTTTAGTCTCATTATTAATAAATAAAACAAAACATATTTAACCTTAAATTTAATACTTTTGAAATAGTGGAATTCCATTACATAACGAACAAATTTCTAGAAATCCACCCATAAATGAAAACAAGGTTGATAATAACCCCTGAGAATGAGGTGTTTCTAAAAAAATTTGTAAATAGTTTGAACAACCTTTCATATTGTAAAATTTACAAAAAACAAAACAAGTACCGCTGGGTTTCTTGCTGGTTCTTTCCAGGACAGAGGTTTTTTGCGAACCAATAGTAAAGTAAAAATAACTCAATAAAATTACATGTACAATACACCTTACAATACATATTGAATAATATTATACTATTCTATTCACTACTATACAATCACTAATCCGCGTGCCAGGTGTGGCAATTAGGGTAAATCCTTATACTCAAATCCTCCTTATATGCACTAGAGGACTGTCGCGAGCTCATAGTATAGTTATACAGGTATACGTCCCACAGCTGTGCACAGGCCTTCCTATTTCGAAGTGTCTATGTGGGTAACGTACTGATTCAATGCTTGTCAGTGGACTTCACCAGACAGGTGACAAAATCTTTTTATTCCACAGACATGTCGGTTTCCTCATGATGTTGTCTTTCACCGTCGTAATCGTTGTAAATGAGCATTTAAAATTGCAATTAAAGCAAAAATTTTCGAAATTAAAAATCTTTTAACGTTCCCTTCTCCCTGCACGCATATTTGAAACACATAAGTAAACGAAAGCAAAAAGCTTATTATCTAAAGGGTCTAAAAAAAAATTTATTGCTTAAGAAACGAGAAATCGAACGTCAAAGCGTTTCCCGGCGGTCAATTTCATCTAGATTATTACAAACTATAGTAAAACTTCAATCAATTAAGAATTTTAATTGAGTATTCGATGTATGCCAACATTTTTCCGATCATATATATTATTAAAGTTAGTGTTAATTCTCGAGATCCAGTCTTGAGATAAGATATTTTGTCCAACCTGGGCTTAATAACTTAACAACAACAACAAACTTGCTCAGAGTGGGGCCACAGCATACAAATAAACAATTGTTAAGTCATAAAATGACTAATTAAGTTTATTACAAAAATTGTGTGTCTAGTCTAAATAAATAAATTTAGTATTTGTATTTGTACCCGAACTGCTGGCGCGGCGGTAATGGCGGCGGCGGACACCGCCTGTGCCTCCGCACCGTGGCGTAGATGCACTCCGCCACCGACTCGTACGTGGGCTCCTCCAGCTGTTCCAGCTTCTCCAGCTGCTCTAACTTCTCCAGATGCTCCAACTTCTCTAGGTTTTCCAGCGTCTGCACCTCACCGCAAGTGCGCGGCGGCTCCTCCGAGATCTCCTCGTACACTCCGGACGCAACTGACGCCAGTGAACGACGGTCTGACGCACTGGAAACGATTTAAAAGTTATTATTTTAAATAATTAAAAAATTATGTCCCTAAATTTAAGATGTTAGTTAAGTCCGCTGGGAACATGGGGATTTCCAAGAATGTGACCTTGAGCATAGATTTCTTGAAAGCATCTTCCATCTCACAACGCTGAACAAGCGGGTTGGTAAGAGTAGTGTCAAGAAAAATAGCCACAGATTTTTTTTAAGTCCAAAATAAATTTAAAGTCAATGTTGTTTAATCTTTTAACGATTTTTTAGAAAAAAAACTAACGTTTTTTAACTTATTTTACATTCTTCTTCACTACAACCACAAATTAATTAATTCCTTCGGTTATTTGTTGTTATAACATTGTATGTTGAATATGACGACAGAGATGCAGTTAACAGTGGGAATAGCATATATGCATATTAAAAAATAATTAAAAAATTCAAATACCCATTAATTTTCTTTTGGTTTATAATTTGCACTTAAGACCAATTTACACTTCGACAAGTACAGTAGCGAGTTAACTTGCGAATCTGGCGATTTAAGTTTGAACCTCGTTTGAACGACAAAAAGTGAGTTAAGTAGCAAGTTAACGATTAAGTTGAACAGGATAGCCGGCCAAACTATTTTTCGGCGAGTTAAGTGCGAAGTGCTGATATACCGCGCGTCTCCCGCCAACCGCCACTAAACTCGCCGTTCGTGTAAACGAGCGAGTTTAGTTCAGTGCATAAGTTGACAGGACGCAGCGTTTGCGCGCCAAAACGTACAATTGTACTTTTATAATGAAACTCGCCACAAAGTTTGTACGATACTGTTATTGAATATTTATACGTTTTATATTGAGTTTTAATAATAAAATGGACGGAAGATATTACGTATACATTCGTACTGGAGTATTTAGAACACGAATGTTTATATAAAGTAGAAGTTCAAATTGTAAAATTAAAACTGCTCGAGATGCTGCACTCATAAAATTCTTAAAAACTTCTTTAACAACAACCATTAATATTTCTCTGACTGGATCATTTAATTCTTGACGTAATCCTAGAACCATCTTAAACGAAAACCAGAAAAATTCTGTAGTCTGGAAACGTCATACTCCAACGAACTCTATGAACTAATGTCCTTAACTAAACTCGCCACGAAGACATTGTTTGAACGCTACTGCCCACTTAACCGTTTACTGTCAACTGCCCTGTAACTTAACTCGCTACTGTACTTATCGAAGTGTAAATCGGTCTTTAGTGCCCGCCTGCTACTAAACTTAATGCGGATATTTAACTTAGACTTTCAGCTCATAATATAACCCTGTTAAACGAAAGTAGAGTTTACTTAGTATATAGTTTATTTTAATTTTGTTTTCTATTCTCAATCTTGTTTCGGTGTTTTTAATGCATTACTTTTAAATTTTCTTTTTTGCTTTTGATTTTCTAAAATGATTTCTTTGCAACACAAATTTTTAAAACATTTGTCACAAACATGGCCTATTTTTACACTATCAAAACTTCTTAAACCGATTGATTATTCCTTATTAAGTTTAAGCATATAACTTAATATATATTGTAATCCTCTTTTAATTTCCTTTATTTTGCGCCAAAACTCGCAATTTTGTGTATTTTTTTTGTTCAAACAGCTACAATTGTATCAAACAATTATATCTAAGAACACTTGGGTTTTTAGAACGAATATAAGGATACCTAACTGTCAAAATCCATCCAGTCGTTTCGTAGATACGAGGTCTTTATGACACAAGAAAAAAATAAACAAGGTACGATATATACTACGATTAATAACATTAAAATAAAAACAATAAATTATTAATAAGAAACAACAATAAATGCCTCACAGCCAATAGTAAGTAGAGTACCCTTCAAATATTAACGTTGTCGATAGAAAATAAATATTTACGAGAATGGCAAGTACCAACCCTGACTGACTGCGCAGAGAAGGTTCCATTGAGGATATAATATTTTCTTGTATAATGACATATTCGTTTGTTATTACTTAGTGGAAAACATGCTTGCAAAAAATAATTATGTTGTTATTTTTAATGTATCAAAACCATGCGTTATCCAGAAATAATTCAATCTACAAACTGACCAAAACAAAAATCCGGAGGCTCTTTTTTCGTTTATTTTCAAATACGAAAGACTTCCGAAAAATATATAGGTCTCCCCGAGGAATGCCACATAGCAGTCTTGAGCCACCTGCGTTAATAGACTGTATATCTTTTTAAGTCGTCACTCCATTTAATAGAGCCGCCCTACACTTCGTTTACTGGTACTTAGGCTATTGGTTGTCGGTTCTTCAAGCCATATCTGATGCCATATCATTGCCAATTCAATTTACTAATCCGTTGGACTATGTCAGAGTTCCCCAAACTTTTTTGTGTCGTAGACCCCTTGCCATGTTTTTTCCGTGTTGGGTAGACGATATTGATACTTACCTGATATTGATTTCCTGACTTACCTGATTCCCCTACTTACCTGATATTGATTTCCTGTAAATTTCTAATTGTAGTGAAGTTTAGTGTTAAAAACTTAAAGTAAAAACACATGTTAATTTATACATTTATTAATTGAATTTAAATTAAAACTACTCAAAATAAAATTTTGTATCTGTTATGTAAAATATACGTAGCATTCAATAAACATAAAATAAACTATAAATAAAATAACATAAGCAATAAGTCAATATTTTTAGTGAGAAGGATGAACCTGATGCTTTAATAATAAATTGTCAACAATTGGCGTCAATTTTGTAAGGGTTAATCTTAAATCTCCTCGGCTAATGATGTCCAGTCTGTTTCTTTTTTTCGTTAGGAGATTGGTAACAGCGCTGAACCTGCTGTCCACTAGGTATGACGATGGAAAGGAAATTAAACATTTCCTCGCTATATTCCATAATACGGGATAAGTAACGGGTATGTTGTTTTGCAGCCAGAATTGCTGATATCCGTTTTTAAACTGAACCTTAAGTTCTTCGTTTGTACTTAGTTCAGTCAGTTACTCTTGTATTATGACATTCGTTTCTTCTATGTCACCATATGGATTAATTACCCACGGTGGTATTACCATAGTCAAAATATCCTCAAACCTAGATTCAAAATCTGAATAGAGGGCATTTAAATGTTGAACGTAAGTTGAAACGTCGTCTTCCTGGCAGCTTGTCTGTGACAAATTGGGGAACTGAGAAAATTCGCCCCGTCCAATATTTTGCTTCATTAGTTTAACTCTGGCAAGAAATACTGATAAGATGGACTTTGTTTTAATCAAATTTAAACTGTCGCCTTGTAATTGCAAATTAACCATATTAAAATTTGTAAACAAATCTGTTAAATAGCGATGTCTGCTTTCCTCTTCATTAAATTTTCTTTTAAAATTTTATCTTTAGTATCCAGAAATTCTAAAATAGTCTCAAAAAGTGCAAAAAATCTTGCCAAACATAAGCCTTTCGACAGCCAGCGTACTTCAGTGTGAAGGAGTAATTAATGAAAGTGTTCGTCATTTTCTTCACACAACTGCGCAAATAACCGCGTATTCAACGCGTTGCTTCGGATTCGGTTTACTGCATCAATGACTAAATGAAGTGATTCATGAAATCTAACACTAAAATTTTTAGCAACTAAATGTTGTCGATGGATGACGTAATGTATTGCTAAGACCCCTGACACATTTTGTTTTAAATAGCTTATAAATCCACGATAACGTCCAACCATTGCGGGTGCTCCATCTGTAGCTACTGATATTATATTTGATAAAGTAATTGCTTTTTCAATGAAGTAATCCTTCAAAACATGAAATATTGATTCACCTTTAGTGTCAGTTATCAAAGTTCTTGCGAAGAGCAGTTCTTCGTAGATTTCTTGATTCATAATAAAACGAACATATGCCAATAATAATGTTGCATTATCAGGTAAAGTTGACTCGTCCAGTTGTATAGTGAAATGGGTCGTTTGCAAATAATTACACATAAGAAGCTTTCAATATCAGAACTCATTTCATCAATACGTCTTTCAACAGTATTGTTGCTTAAGGGAATTCTTTTAATGATATCAGATGCAGGTTTGTGTAAAACAGTTTTTAAAACCTTTTTCAACGGCTGGCAAAATTAACTTCTCTCCGATAGTATGCGGTTTTCCGGATTTTGCTATAAGTAACAAGATATTATAAGACGCCCGCAAACCATCATCATTTCTTTGTGACGTCGAAGCGAACATTCAGTCCAGTGTAGGTCTCTTCTGAAGTTTATCTTTGATTGTTTGAAAGTATTTCAAATCTTTCTCTATTTTATCAGGGTGGCATCTTCTCAGATGATCTTGCAGTTTAGTAGTAGTTTCATAGCGTCATTGCCCAAAACCTTGTTGCATAAAAGGCACATAGGAAATTGTTTGTCCGGCAATGATGGAATGAAGCCAAATTTCAAATAATCGACACTGTACTGTCTGCATTTCTTTTTAGATTTGGACATGGCATCAGTCATCTGTGGGCAACATTAAATTATTTAAATAAGACAGAAAATCTAGCAGCTGTATATTTAAAATATTTTTTAATTTTTCCGAAAACATTCCATAATTCGAACATCTTCTTGCAACAATTCGCTCGAATTACGGAGATTGCACTGTAATTATAATACCGATGGCTAAAACTTTCAAAAAGAAACTATTGAGGAGTACTCGTGTAATTTTGCGTGATTGAATATTAAAACTACTAATAACTAAAGTCATGATTGGCGTAATTTATCTATCTTTGCTAACTACGAGTACAAAACTAAAATTTAATAAAAAAAAATGTACTTACTTTTCTCCAGCACTCTCAAAAAAAAATAACACTGACTCACTATAATTCATGTGATATACTATCTCTTCATATTTTTTAAAATATTTTCTTAGCACTTTCCTTTTCAAGATTCAGGAAACTAATAAACGTATTTGTCCCACATTCGTATTTATAGAGTGACGAATTGAACAAGTCAATGCAAGGTAGCGAAGCTCTGAGACTGCGACTCTCAGG